CCGATGCAGAATTCTGATTTTCAGCCCCCTATAAACCACATCCTGCTTGTAAATTTGGCATCAATTCACGGTCAGGATGCATTCCCCCTGTACTATGGGACTGTAAAATTCTGATCTGGGCTGATTGGTCATTCTCACTAGATTTAAAGACCTTACAGTGAATATCTCAGAAAGGTGTGCTCAAAGTATGTTGGTCATCTTTGGATGAGATTGATACCACTTTGAATCTGCACTACGACTGAGACACCCATTTGCACAGAACAAGTAGAAAAGCGTATGACCTTACCATGGACCTGTTCACAGGCCGGGTTGGGCCCGACTTTGCCTCTTTTTAAACAAAATCTGACCAGGATTGAACCCGAGCTCCGTCCTATATTAAGCCCAAAGCCTCATCTTCACAGAATGACAAGTATTTTGTAATTCATTAGTTATATATTACATAATATTCTATATATATATATATTTAATCAATAATAGAATTTCATTAATTAATAAGAAAGTTACATGAGGAGAGGTTCTTATTTCTTCTCACCAAACATACAATTACAAATTACAATTGTGCCAAAAACATTTGATTTTGTCCCACCCCTTGTTTGGCTACAACATCAACAAAAGCGTTAGTAGTTCTTTTTTAAGTTTTAACCCAATTAATCCACTACCTTTGAGTCACCTTTTATAATCAGAATTTTTAACTCATTTCTTTTGCCTTTTGCACTCCTTCCATCACAGCCAGAATTTTATCACTTAATAAATCTCCTGCACCAACTGGACCAAAAAATAAGTCAATAATTTTGCTTTCATTATTCCTAAACACCCATCAATTACGGAAGAACCCAGGTTATCTCTACTACTCAAAATTTAACTTAATAAAATCATTAGCTAATGGAGGTTATAAAGGCTAGGGGTGGCAATTGGGCGGATTGGGTTGGGTTTGATTTGGGTTGAGCTTCAACCCAATCCATCTAACCTGCCAGCCCATTAATGATCCAGTTATATAAAATTAAATGGATTGGGTTCAACCCAAACCCGCTTTAATCCAATTCAATCCGTCTAAACCCATTAATTTTATATTTATGGACTTCAAAAACAAACTAACTCTCACTTAACAAAGAAGTTGGTTATAGCTTGGTGGTAATTGTAGGTACTATTTATACAAGTGATAAAGGTTCAAATCACATTACATGCATGTTATTTTTACACAAGCGGGGAAACCATTTGATTATGTTCGGATTTCGGGTTTGACCGAACCACTTAGGTTCAAACCGGTCAGACCAACTTGAACTATCTAATTGGATTATCTTCAAGCTAATCACATCAAGGATGGTTGAACCGTTTAGATCTGGATCAGTTTGGTCGGATCGGGCCGGACCAGTTCTGCCAATGGTTGATTGACTTGGACCAGACCATATTAGGTTTGTGCACAGGTTTGGGACTGGACCGACTGACCCAAACCGGGACAATGTAAGTAAATCTGGTCAATCCGGATTCGGGTCACCACATATCGACTTGTGTCGGGTCGGGTTGGACTGTGTGAATACTGGTTGGACCGGATGACCCAAATCGGACAGAGCAAGCGGTACCAAGCCATCCTGTCTGGGGTCTATTTCGGATTCGGGTCGACCCGAATCGATATATGTTAGATCGGGTCAAACCACGTTGAACTAGTCCGAACTCGGGTCAAATTGATTTGGATTTATGTTGGGTGAAGTGTGTTGATTCAAGACAAAACTAAATTTAGTTAATAATTAATAGAACATTAATGCATTAATTATAAATTATTAAATTCAAATGAAAAAAAAATAAAGAAAAAGGCTAAGGAATTAGTACTTATATTTGTAATGGTTAACCCAATGGTTATCCGCAACCCAACCCATTTAAATGGGCAAGTTGGGTGATGGGTTGATCACACAACCCGCCAAGTAAATGGGTGGATTGGGTGAAAATTTGCCTCCACCCCTAATAAAGGCCTCATCTTGGCCTGATAGCAATCAGAAGAAGCCACTTCCTTCCAAAAAAAGCCACTCCTAATATAGCTCCAAAGATTTCACCCACTGAACCACCCTTAATATATATATATATATATATATTATTTATTTATTTATTATTAATGGAAAAAATGAGCTGACAAGTGTGACAATATGGGTTCAAGTTTAGAGAGGCCAATTTGTGATAAATTTTTGAGAGGTTAGGTCCGTATCCAGCCAACCCCTTTAGATCAAAGATAATTGGGGCCATCATTGGGTAATGGCCTAAGCCTTACTATTAAGGAGAATGCTTTAGATCGTATAGTTTTAAACAAATGAATAGCAATTAACTATTGCTTTACAAAATTGAACTAGGGTTTGCAATTTTGGATTCATTAAGAATTAGGAACAACCCAATGATACTGATTGTAAGATGATCCTAAAGAAGGGGAAAAAATTTGTGTAGTTTTGCAGCATGATTTCATGGCAGCATTTACCTAAAGTTGTGCATGATGGAAGCAATGTGTGCATGTAGGGGGAGGGCCACATAGGGGTGCAAATGGATCGGATAATAATTCAATCTGAAGTCCAATCCTATTTTGTCAAATTTGAATTTGAATTCGGATCACCTTTATCCAATCCGATAATATGTGTTTATAAATATGCTATTTATATTACATTTTTGTAATTTTTTATAAAAAATATGTATATATATGATGAAAATAGTTGAAAAATACTTATATTTTTTGTTTTTCTTTATTTAAACCATCATATTTTTAATAATTTATTTTAAAAAAAATAAATCAGATTGGATTAGATTTGGACATTCGACATCCTTATCGAATTCGAATTCGAATCAGATTGGATTAGATTTACCCCCCCC